GGAAGGTGTTTAGGTGTTGGAATTACTATAGAAGAGCTAGAATATTCTGGGGAGGGCTTGCCTGGCTCATAAGAGCTGACTAGAAGTTGTAAGGTATCCTGTGGGCTGGCTGACAACGCTGCTGGCAGCGTGAAACTGGCTGTGACAGGAGAATTTACACCAGGGGCAAGGGCAAGTGCCGCACACCAGCCCTCCTCCACCCCCACCCAGGGAGAGCTGGCTGTTAGCTACCAGCACATTCCTATGGAAGCTGAGAATGGAGTCCTCCAAATCTGCCCATGTTAGGTAGCGCAGAAGGTCATTGCCATGAAATTTTAAAATAGCAAATTACTTTTTTTTTTTTCCAAAAAGAAAAAGATCCACTGCAGGTCACGAAGATAACTGTTTAAAAATAAAAGGCAAAGGCCATCTCCATATTTGGGCAATTCCTTCAAGATTCCATGAGTCTAGCATTTTCCTCAGAAGTAAATTCACAAAAGCAATCTCATTCGAAAGGCACACTCGCCCAGGAAGATTCTTTACCGTGTATTTATTGGGGTTGTCTTTTGTTTTTGACCTAACATCTTTTTACGCCTTTAAAATGAGCAAGAGATTGTCTACAAACCATGTGTTATATAGACATTTAGAGTTTAATTCCATCTCCACGTGATTACTGTATAACTTGAGGTGACTGAGCCAAGTAGCCACCACAAAGAGATATTAGTGGTTTCAAAGCATTTGAAGAATGTGCCACGAAAGTAACAAATGCAGCCCTAGCTGGTCTGGCTCAGTGGATAGAGTGTCGGCCTGCGGTCCAAAGGGTCCCCGGTTCTATTCCGGTCAAGGGCACGTACCTTGGCTGTAGGCTTCTCCTTGTGGGGCGAGCAGGAGGCAACCAATCAATGTGCTCTCTCACATCGATATTTCTGTCTGTCTTCCCCTCTCTCTTCCACTCTCTCTAAAAATCAGTGGGAAAAATCCTCAGGTGAGGATTTTAAAAATAGTAATAATAACAAAGGTAGTGGTGGAGTTGACCAAAAAATCCCCCCAAACCTATTTTTCAAGGTACAGAACTTATCCTGCTAAGAGGCTTTGGTACTCACAGGAGACCTCACAATATTAAGGTGCATTTTATTCACTGAGCTGAACGTGACCCAATACATTGTGGCCATTCGCTTCACGGAGGATGGGAACCAGAATCTGTGTCACCACGGGGGCCACTTCCGCAGGCATGCAGGCCGCTAGGGTCGGGGGAAATGAGAACCCTCACGTAGGCTCAGACTGTGGTCCTTCTCACTGTTCAAATATTTGTTCTCTTCCAAAAACATCTACCCTCATAACCATAACTGCCGTGCGTCATGTTTATCAAAGTTGGGTATTTGGACTATTCTGATACTCAAAACCCCAGTCTGACATCCAAACTCACAAACCCCTAGAGTTACAAAGCTTGGATATAGAAATAGATGTCAATGTAGCTGGAAGATATTATAGTACGTGTTTTTGTTTGTTTTGTTTTGTAGGAAAAAACAAACGATTGGAAAGGATATTTCATTTTAAAATAAAATGGTTGCCGTTTTACATTTTTATTTAAAAAAGAAAACATGGAAGTGTGTGATATATTTTTTTTAAACCTCACTGTTTCTTAGTATTTCAATTCAGGCACACGTAAAATGATTGGGGGTCGGGGGGGGACCCTTCGTTAATACTGTTTGAGAGTACAAAACAAAGAGGCAAGGAGAGAAACAGGGATTCCGTATTTAACACCTGACAGGGAAATCCAATATAACACTTCTTCTAAAAAAATTAAACCAAGTGATAAACCCATTCTGTGAATATCAGGAGCAAACGTCACAGCGCTTTCTAGTGACCCGTGCCGCTGTACCTCGTTCTCTCCGTCACCCTTAGCTCTCTGCCACGGAGCTGCCACTGCTGTGGGTTGGTGACGGTTCATTTTGTGTCCACATTACTGGGCCACGGGTGCCCAGGCACTTGGCCAAACATTATTCTGGGTGTGCCTGCCATGTGTGGGTGAGATTAACATCTGAATCAGGAGACTGGTTCGGCAGACGGCCCTCCCGAACGTGGGTGGCCTCATCACTGGATAAAACAGAAAGGCTGAGAGGAGGGAACCCTCCCGCCCAGCTATTGGATGGAATTGGGACACTGGTGTTTGCTTACCGAACATCGTCTCTCCTTGGGTCTGGTACCTGGGATGGAAACATATCATCAGCTGCCGTGTGTGTGTGTGTGCATGTGCGTGTGTGTGCATGTGCATGTACATGTGCGTGTGTGTGCTTGTACATGTGCGTGTGTGTGCATGTGTGTGTTGCTGATACAGAGTCGCTTGAAACGTGCCCATACTTCTTCAGAGGAACCAAACATACCCACCTGAAGTGTTCCTGCCTCTACAACTTGACTCTGGGTGTTCTTCCATAATCTCTTGTTCTCAACATCCCACTCATCATTCAAAGTGCAGTTTGAATCCTACCTTTGCTATGACAGCTCGCCAGGCATCCCATGCCAGAACCTAGCCAGTGGGCCCTGGACCCTGCAGGCCTTGGGCCAGCGCTTGGAGCACACTGTCCACAGTCCGGGTGAGAGGCACTCAGGGGGGAGCAGTCTGGGGAGGGGTGAAGTGGCTTTCTACAGGAAGTGCATGATTCTGTGCAAATGTGCGCATTTGATATCAGATCCAGTTCCCAGGAGAACGCTACTTATCTTGCTAAGGATGTTTTTAAAAACCCTACTTTTTGCCCCAGCCAATTTGGCTCAGTGGGTAGAGCATCGGCCTGCGGACTGAAGGGTCCTGGGTTCCATTCCAGTCAAGGGCATATGCCTGGGTTGGGGGCTCCATCCCCAGGGCAGGGTATGCAGGAAGCAGCCGATCAATGATTCTCTCTCATCAGTTTCTATCTCTCTCCCTTCCTCTCTGAAATCAATAAAAATATACATATATATTTTTTTAAATCCCACTTTCATGGCCATGGCTGGTGGAGATGGCAGCCGCCAGAGCAGAGGGCAGGAGAGCAAGTCCACGGAATGAGCACAGGAACAGAGCACTCGTGCAGAAAAGCAGGAGCCACTCCGGGAGGAGCAGCACCCGAGGGCAGACTGTCCTGGTCATGAACAGTATGGACAACAAAGACCAAGAGGGACAAAAGGGGCCCCCGGTGCAGAAAGCCGTGCTGTGGGGCCACCACGGTCAGGGCGGCCACAGGTCACTGAGAGACGGAAGGGGACCCTGTCAGTGACAGCCTCTGTCAGGCCAGGTGCGCTTCCCATCAGAGTGCGGGTTCAGCCATTAACAACAAATCTTCATCATTTCCGGACAATTCTAAACTGAAGAAAGTCTCCAGCTATCGTTCTCTATAAATCCTTACTTCTACCCAACCATTCAAATCAAGATTTTGGGGAGCTGGGTACCCAGGTTAGCAGCACTCCTGGCTACAAATAAATACAATAATAAAATCCAACAGTCCCTTTTATTTTGGAGGTAGTTTGTTTATTCTATGTCCTTGCTTTCCCCAAACTAAGTCATAAACGGGGAGAGGTTTTGATTGTACAGTTTTTATCTTTGGCACCGTACTGTCAAGTAATGTTATGTAAATGGCTGAACCCATTGTGATCACTATAATCATCATTGTTTTTTCTTCCATTTGTAATCCCTCTATTAGCTGAGCTGATGCCCACCACAGCCCCAGGGGCTGGACAGAAGGCTACTCGGCCTCCCTTTAGAGCAGTGGTTCTCAACCTTCCTAATGCCGCGGCCCTTTAACACAGTTCCTCATGTTGTGGTGACCCCCAACCATAAAATTATTTTCGTTGCTACTTCATAACTGTGATTTTGCTACTGTTATGAATCGTCATGTAAATATCTGATATGCAAAATGTATTTTCATTGTTACAAATTGAACATAATGAAAGCATAGTGATTAATCACAAAAACAATATGTAATTATATATGTGTTTTCCGATGGTCTTAGGCGACCCCTGTGAAAGGGGTCTCGACCCCCAAAGGGGTCTGGACCCACAGGTTGAGAACCGCTGCTCTAGAGAAACCTGGGTTCAGGGAGGTCAGGTGAGATAGCGATGGAGCTAGAAATCCTGCCCCCATTGTGGCATCATTTTCTCAGATTTAATTTCATCAGGTCAACAAGAGGAAGGGAGGAGGAAGAACACTCCTAAGTTAAATAGCACCTGGTTGTCCTTATTAAAGCCCACAATTGTCTTTGAGACATACGCTCGCCAGGAGCATCTACCTGCCAATGATCAAGCCCAGCCAAGGACCAGAAACACGTGAAACAAGTCACCTTTTAACGCCACGGTCGCATCTTTCTTGCAAAAATATAACTGTAGCCCAGATCCCAAATTGCCCTTGATTTTCACACTCCTGAGGGTGTACAAAAACTGAAGAACTCTGACCATAGGCAGCAAGCAGAGACACTTTTTTGTACTGGGCAACTTTCTTTGCTTCTATGCTTTGTTTCAAAATGAGGACATGTTTCACCCTAGAACTCCCCCAAGGAGCCTGCCCAAATCCTGTGGACTCTCACCCAATTTAAACCCTTGGCCTTAAGTAATTAAAGAGCCTCTTCAAAATTGAAGACAGCTAAAGTGCAGTACAAGCATAATTACTACCTTGTTCAAACATGTAATGCGAAAAATCCAGGACAACATATGCATTAAGAGAGGTCAAATGGGGGTCAATCAGTGGGTCATGGAGAGATGGAATGGGACCCTGTCAGGGACTTCTGGTGAGCGCAAGGGGCGGGTGTGGGGGGGAGGTGAGTAGGGAGGGAGCCTGGCATTCATCCTATGCAGAGATGCCTGACTTTTATGCATTCATCAAACTTGTTTTGAGAACCTTCTATGTGACAGGCACTGGGGTAGGAAAGGGGGTAATTAGAAAAAAAAACCACCAACAACAAAAAATAAAAATAATAACAGAATTCTTAACATATTGCGGACGGATCACAAGAATTCTCGTGTTTTCTGTTCTAAAGCTTGTGGCCAATCATGAGAATTCTTTAAAAAGATATTAGCTTGCAAGAACATGTAATAAATAACTTCAAAATGCAAAGGGTATTTGATTTTAAAGCATGCCTTTGCCATTTACATAAAACGCTTTTTGTGCTCCTTCAATAGAAACTTACCTGGCCACTGGGTAAAGCTAGCAATGAAACAACTGGTCCGCAATGTGTTAGGAAGGGGACATCTGTTTGGGAAGACAGAACACACTAACGAGTATACCAGGAGGGGATGGAGACAGGCGTCGTGAAACAATGCAGGTGAAATGATGGGGGATGCAGGAAAGGGCTGGTCGCGCACACCTGGAGAGCGGAGAGCAGCTCACCCCTGGGTGCCTTCCGCCACGTGTCTGAGAGCCCACCTCCCACAGCGCCTTTTCCTCCCTGCACTGGAACTGGCCCCACTCACTGGCGAGAGGCAGGGTCCGAGCACCGGCTCCGGAGCTGGGCTGCCTGGGTTCAGATTCCATCCCACCTGGTACTCTTTGTGGGGCCTGGGTCAATCCCTTCCACCATGCTGCGCCTCCTCTGTAAACATTTCCTCATCTGTGACATGGGGCTAGAGCTTGGCCGGGGTGGCTCAGTCAGTTGAGCACTGTCCCATGCACCACAAGGTTGCTGGTTTGCTACCTGGTCAGGGCACATGCCCAGATTCTGGGTTTGATTCCCAGTAGGGGGCGTACAGGAGGCAGCTGATGGATGTTTCTCATCCATGTTTCTATCTCTCCCTCTCCCTTCCTCTCTATAATTTTTTTTTAAGAAAAAAAACACAAGCATTTAAAATGTGGGTAAACAGAGCAGCGATCTACAAGACTGCTGTGAGCACGAAAGGATCGAATCTGTGCTCACAACATCACGGGGTCAGCACTCCCCCACAGAACGCACATCACAGTGGCGGGCACACAGTAGGCATTCAGACCGACTACATGAAAACGCGAAAGGAAAATGCTGCACTTGGGAAGAGAAGAGGGAGCCAGATTTCATCAGCCCCACGAGCTGAGGGCGAGAGCATTCCTCTCATGAATCCTTTCATGTAGCTGAGGCTGTGGACACCCTACTCCATGTGAAGTCTAGACACCACTCAGCATGGTAGGGAAATAACTGTAATTGGACAGCTTTTCACGTTACAGTAAATGGAAAGAAGTTCACTCCCTTTCCATGTTCTGGAAGCAAAGCAATTCCTTAATAAAAGGGGGGCCAGCATTTCAGGGCTGGGAGCAAACCCACTCACTGCCTGGCGGTGGGAGCTGTGACCTGGCAGCACAGCTGGCCACTGACACTGCACGAGCCTCCCCCAAGGGTCCCTTTGAGTCCCTTTAACTGGAAGCCAGTCACCTGTACAGGAAGGGGAGAGGAGGGGGGGAGTGACAGGAAGGCACACCTGCTCTAGCGAAGGCGTCCAGCTTATGCCAAGTCCTGTTCCAGTCATAACGCAGGAAGCGGAGAGATGAGGCTGAAGTAACAGGCTTTCAGGCCTGGCTGATAATCTGTTTTGTCCACCGGGCAGGGGTCCTGGTCTGTCTGCCACGCCAAAGGGCAGCCAACGGCCAATCCACTAGTGGACTGTACAGTCAGCTGTCTACCAGCCCCAGCCCATACTCAGGGCTCGTTGCAATGCCTATTATGACTTTTGGTTGAACCTGCCTCCACACCCCCTAACCCCCACCCCCCACCTCGAGTCCACAGCCCTCAGGGAACAGGATGAATCGTTGTTTCTCACATGTCGAGATCACGTTTACTGCTGTCTAACCATCGAAACTTTTATAAAAGCTATGAGACAGAACTTGTCCTTAACCCTCTATCATAATTCATCGGCAACAGCACCCTAAATGCAACTGAAACCGTCCTGGAGGTCCAGGGACTGTGACTACGGCGCTGTCCCCTGAGGGCGTCAGGCAGGCCAGGACAGGCAGAAGGGCCCTCCTCCCCCACGTGCAAAGCTCCTGCACCCCTTCACTGAGGGAGCAACTGACTGAGCAAGCTAAGTCTCTACACAGAGCAGGCTGCGGGCAGCATTAGCGCCCCTGGGGGGTCCCGGGCCAGTGGTTCTCTGACGCCAGGCGAACGTCCTGGCCGAGATGAGAAGAGAAATGAATGCTGGCTTCCGGGGCTCTTGTACACCAGGCACAACACCATCAGTGCTTTTCCGAGTCCTCACCGGGACCAGCTAGGCCAGGGTGGGAAACCTTTCTCTGCTGAGAGCATTTGGATATTTAAAGCATCATTCAAGGGCCAGGCAAAATTATCAACTTCAAAATTAGCCTGTTCTATGTGGTCAACCGTTTCATTAACGTACCCCTAACGCCTTGGCAGGGCCAGACCAAATGATTTCGCGGGCCTCATGCGGCCCATGGGATGGATGGTCCCCATCTCTGTTTTAAATCATAGCATGACTAGGTTCCTGGCATGCTATGTCCTTGTTATTTGTTTATTTCCCACCTCTTCCCAGGAGCACGCCGTTGTAGGAAGCAGCTGGCTTGTCTGCCTTGCTTAGGGGCTCGATAATGTTTACTGAATGGATGAGCCAAGCACAGTTACTTCAGATATCAGGTCGCTTTAATCCTCTGCACCCACAAGTGAGGTAAAGTCCTTCTACAGACAAGGATCCTGAAGGCTGTTACTGCATGGAGAGCATGGTGCCTCCGACCAGCAGCCTGGGCAATGGCACCGCTCAGCCCTGCCCATCCCTGGGACACTGGGCAGGTCACCAACCAATCGCTGAGGCTCCGTACCTGGACCTGGCAGTAATGATAGCAGTACTGTCTATGGAGTTGCTGACAGAAGCTCAAACATATAAAAAGCTTAGAATGGCCCTAACCGTTTTTGGCTCAGTGGATAGAGCGTCGGCCTGCGGACTGAAGGGTCCCAGGTTCGATACCGGTCAAGGGCTTGTACCTTGGCTGCAGGCAAATCCCC